TACTTTTTTGAACTTATGAAATAAAATTTAACAAACAATAATATTAAAAATACATTAGTTGAATTCGGCTTCTTTCATGTTTATTCTTTGGTCCTGATTTAACTAGAACATGTTTAGGTTTTTATAGTCTTGCTCTGATTTGTCCAGATTTAGAGAGAAATAGAACTTACTTGCGTGTTAATTAAATACAGCCATTTCAAATGTGATCACTGTATTTGGTCGACTCAAAAAATTCAACTAAAAGTAGAAACATTTAAAAATCGCATGGTGTTCCGATTTTATTGTTTCAAATTTAAATATAGATGATAGAATATTTAATTTTAAGACAAAAGTTTCCTCTAAATATGTTTCGAAAATTGCTCTGTAAGAGAGCTACACCCCCTAAAAAGGGGTGCGTTTTTTAAAGGGTTTTTCCTAATATTTCAGAATAGATGAAATTGCAACGTTTGGTACAGCTGATAACCTTTATTCACATAAACGAATTACAAAATGAAATGTCGAAATTTTTAATCCGTGATGGCGTCCTAAACCGTAAAACGAATTTAATTTTTAAGTTGGTATTTTTTAATTTTTAAATTGGTAAGTTGTAACGGAAAAACATAAAGGATGTTTTTTTTATGAAAAACTATGAAATTTAGAATTTTGTTGCTGAAAGCGGAAAGAAACTACATCCAAAATAGTTGGATTACTTTTTATTTATATGTTACGGTGTTGTTCATTCGTAATCGTAAATGTTTACATAAAATTCCATTTTTAGTGTACATCGCATAAAAAATAAAATACAAAAATATCCATTAACTCCAGAAATAAATTTATTGTTTTTTTTGTAGAGTAGAAAATCGTTTCTTTTTTGTTTTCATTGTTTTTTTCAGATTTTTCAGTTGATTTTTACCTACCTTAATTTAACAATGTAATATACAGGATGATTTAAAAGTGTCTGTTTTTGGCCGTTCACTAGTGGAAACAATAGATCTTGCATAAAATACCAATTTGTCTTTTATAGTATACAAGACAATAATTAACAACCTAGCAAATTCAACAGTAAATTAAATCCGACAACATTGGTAACAAAAGAGTTAATGTGCCTATACATGATAATACGAAAATTGTCGTTTTTTGTAGGTTCTGTTTTTTTTCAAAAATCAAAGTTTGAAAGAAAAATCTGCGTTTATTGTTATGTTTAGCTGAATGTCTTTTAACACCGTTCGAGAGTTGGTCAGCTTTGGATCACCCTGTATTTGATAAACTGGCAAATTTTTTTTTTTTTAATTTACTCGTTGAAACAATAATTAATAAAAGATAATAACAAAGTAGTAGGTATTGCGTTTCTTCCGCGAATAAATTTGTGTTGCGTTTGTGACGAAGACGGTTTTGTGACAAAGGTGCAAATTTCGTTATCAGTTCTTACGTTGATGAAGTTAACGAAGATGGATGCAAATATTTGTAAAACAGAAAAGTGAGTTATTTATAATGGAGATAAAATAAATTGTCTTGTATGAAAGTGTGGTGTCTATAATTAAGTTTGGTGTTGGTGTATGAAAATGCAGTTCCGATTTCCCACAAGCCAGTCGTCGCGTTTAGTTGCGTCTGTTTTTAGTTCGTGCGATAATAAACTCGAACATATAGTCACTATCAGTACTGCTGTCGGATGTTAAAATATATAATCCCAGTTTAAACACAGACTCAAGATGCGGAGTATCCTGGTCTAGGCCCAGGACAATACACATGTTGTCAGGTGCGTAAGATCTTATCACGAATAAATACGCCGCCTCTTCTCATCTCACCGCCCGTTAATCCGCTTGATCAACGATCGTCCTTATCGCATTCACACCGATATACGGCTGAATTTTTTTCGATATAATGAAATTCTAATAATGCAGTAGACGTAGCGTAGCTTCTTTTCGATGACTGATTTTGGTAATTTGTTATAGGGAAGACGAGAACGAAGGACAAATATCGGGTCGTGTATTCGGACCTCCAAAGGATCGAGTTAGAAAAAGAATTTACGTTCGTTAGTAAATACATTACGATCAAACGGAAATCGGAACTCGCTGCGAATTTGGGCTTGTCGGAGCGACAGATCAAAATATGGTTTCAGAATAGACGAGCCAAAGAAAGGAAACAAAACAAGAAACGCATCGAAGAGAAACACCAATTTGACAATTTGTATCACAACGGGTTCATGCAAGAGGCCAATCAGGAACAGTTGATTTTGGGGCTGCCGCCGCCGACGCCCTCATTAATGATGCATCATATAGTGAGTCCCTCGGTGAATTCGGGGGTTAAAGCGGAATGCAACGACATAGACAATGTTGATAATATTGTCTAACACTGACAAAATGTGACTTTTAAGCCGTCCGATAAGTGCAATCATTGTGTGCAATTTTAGTGATTTGACGTTTAATTGTGTTGGGTTTTGTAGATACAATTAAACATCTCAACTTATGTTATAATTTTATGCGCGTGCGTAAACCATACAGTCATTATTAATTATATTATATTAATATTAATTTAAGACACTGTGAACTTTACATTTTATTAGTTAATAAAGAATTATTGTTTTTTATTTTGCAGTTTTTTAATTACTTTATTTTAGTCAAATGAATAACTCCAGGTGCAACGACTTATTTTTTCCCTCAACTGATGGTTTTCCCAAATCTACATCTGTCGTCTTTCTTTCTGTCTATCTAACACAAGCACATTATTCATTACTTTGCTATGAGTCCTACCTAATAATAATAGCAACTTTTCTACAAGTGTAAATTTACTTTAGGAAAAATTAAAAATATTAAAAAATAAAAGTTAATTTAAATTTTGAGACAAAACTAAAAAAAATATTTACTAACGGAAATTCAAGGTGTCTAAAGTATTTTTGAAATGTTATTTGAAAAGTCTTTTCCGTGATTATAAAGTATAATTATAAAGAAAAAATTAAAATAATTACTCCCGTGTAAACAATGATAACAATGAAAACAATAACACACTGAATTAAAAATTTAGTTTTATCCTTTATCGTAAGTTGAAGAAACAATAAGAAGACTATGAATTAAAAAAAACTAAAAAAAAACAACATGAAGTAATTTTATTGCAAAAACAATTTACAAAAACGTCATATATATATATGGTTGAAAACTAAATTACTTTATAAACATAAAGAAAATCTAAATTTCTATTTGACTAAAAAAACTAAAATATTTTACAATCAGCGAGACTCTTTTCTATGTTTTCACAACAAAAGAATTTACCAAATCTTACCAGTTTGGGAAATTTAGATAAAATCTTTTATGCCAAATTGTCAGGATACGCTATTATGTGAACTCAAAAAATATTAAACAGGAATTATATACAGTTAACAATAATTAGTTACAACCTCGGCAATTTTTTTTGTCTGGGCAATGCCAAATTTTCACATGCAAAAACATTTTTTAGCAACATTTTTGTAAAAAAAAAATGTAGGTACGAGTATGTAGGTATACCGACCTGCTAATATTCAGTTTGTAAAACTAATAATGTAACCAAAACATAACATTATTTATTATATTATATTATATTATTACTTATTATCTCTCAAGAGTCCCAAACTTTGTACATGTGGGGATGTATACCTATACGATTTATAGAAACTTTATGCTGAAAACATCTTCAGTAAAAGAAAATGAAAAAAGCAATTCTTTTCAAAAATACTTAAAATTATCTATAATAATAATGCTTGTTAACAGTACTAGACCTTATAATAATTTACATATTTACAATAATTATACAATATATCTACAGAATGTCCCGTTTTTATTGTTACAAATTTAMATAAATAATAGAATATTCAATTTTAAGACAGTGTCTTATAAACATGAATCGATAAAATTGTAAAATTTGGTTGATAATCCTTATACAATTAAACAAATCTAAAAAATTGTTGAAAATTTTAATCAGGAATGTCATAAGCCTAGGGGAGTAGAATAAAAAGTACTCTTAACTATTTTGTTTCTAGCCACTTTCAGTAACAAACTCCTAAATTCTGTAGTTTCTCACGTAAAAAGGTCTCTTATGCGTTGTTTCGATACAACTTACCGTTTTTGAGTAAAATCAATTTAAAATTTATGTTACAGACCATAAAGAGCATTAAAATTTAAAATTAAATTCTGAGAGGGAAATCCTTCCATTTCAGGACGCTTCTGATTAAAAATTTTCTCCATTGATTTTTGAGTTATTTTAGGTGTAGATACAAAGATTATCAGCTGTATCAAATTTTGTAATTTTATCTATTCTAATATTCTGGAAAAAAAACATTAAAATCTCTTTCAACCGCTACATAGCAGTTTTCGATACATGTTTATAGAAAATAAATTTTATAAATTTTCAATTCTAATTTTATGAAAAATACAACTTCTCATAATAATTCTTGTTTTCTTTTAATGAATAAGTACCTATGTCGAGCTATTTTCTATTTTTTAACATTTTTTTAAGGAATTTATATTGTAAAAGTAGCTAAAGTAGATAATGCTAATATTGTAAAAAATGTGTATGCTAATTTTGTTGTTTAGATTTTATAACGGTTTTTTTTTAATTTGGCGTCTAAAGTGCGATGACTATGAGTTTGTTGTGAATGGACCACAATTATCCTCTTTTAAGAGCCTGTAGCAAAAAAAATTGGATAATTATTTTTTCAACAAAAATAAATATGTACAGTCAAAGTGCAAAATTTAAACTCTCATAATTTAATATTTTTTCCATGTTCCTGGTATCTTACCTTACATGGTATTTTTCTCTGAAGCCCAAGTTCTGGCGCACGCTATATGAACCTTCGAAATTTATAAAAAATGTGTATAACTATAAAAAAAATCAAATTAGATATTAAAAAAATTGCTTTATATCATTCGTGTATAGACGTTATTTATACATTTCTCATTCAATAAACAACCATAACTTTCGCTGGTAATGTTTCTGAACAATTTACCATTCTAATTCTTCCGTTTATTTTTTAGTTTTCATTTTTGTTTCAGGCAAAACCCGAACGAAAGACAAGTATCGTGTAGTCTACACCGACCATCAGCGAGTAGAACTCGAAAAAGAATTTTACTACAGTCGATACATCACAATTCGGCGAAAAGCCGAATTAGCAAACAGTCTGGGATTATCCGAACGCCAAGTAAAAATCTGGTTCCAAAATCGTCGTGCTAAAGAACGAAAACAAGTGAAAAAACGCGAAGAATGCAACCAAAAAGACAGTTCAATAAACATGGGACATTTAACACAACAGCAAATCATCCACCACAACCAAGCGCAAATGGGCCAAGCTCTTATACCCTCACCACTCATATGACCGTCTCCTTACGTCGAATGGAAAGAAGACCATCTTCAGTGTTTGTGATGAAATTGTGTTGTGATTATAGCGTTTTTATTTATTTTATCGAGTCACATCACCTCGGAGATTATTTTGCATAATACATATAATTTATCTTTTTGTTACGGCCATTCTGTATATAATATTGTATAAAGGTTTATCTGTTGTGTGGTAGCATTTTTAAAACTGTTAATCAGAGTGTGGCAAGCACGGATTATCTAGAAATTCGCACTTTGTAAATTTGTACAAATGTTTATGTGCCTTCTTGTTGCTTCTTCTTCACTATACCGTGTAAATAAAGGTCACTGTATTCTAAGTTTTGTTGTGTTGCAAAGTAGAAGCCAGATTGTAACTTATTTTTTGGTATCCAGTGAAGAATAAATGATTTTATTTGAAATTTGTGTTATTTTCACCCAAACATGATTGTCTAAAGTATCAAATAATCTGATAAATGATAAGTAATCGACTCATTCAATTTTCACATGTTTGTTTTGTTTTTTCAGCATTTTTTTAATAAAAAATCTTCCGTTATTTTGTCAGTCAGACAAAATATTTATTCAAATCTTAACGAGCATTTAAGGGACAATACGTAATTTATAGGATTTAATCTCTTTATTCGATATTTATCAAATAAACCATAAAAACCTCTGTCAATAGTTATAACAATGACTATTTAAAATTTATTACAATCTTATCAAATTAAGAAATTAGATTTGTTTAAATATTCCTTAAATTCCAAAACCTACTATCTAGTCCAAATTCAAATGGAGTATAAAAAAGGAAAGAAACCAAATACATATCTCGGTCTGCAAATATACACAGTGATTATGTATGACGTTTATATATTACGTAATCCCTTTTAAATAAAAGATTACTCATGAAAAATTTATTCCTAATTATACGGTTGAAAATATTATAATATCGCGGTATCGATTGTATACATAAAAAAACGTTGGCGACTCAAAAGTCGGTTGAACGGCAAAGATCAAACGCCGATAAAGAGATTACCTTAATCCCCATCACCTTTTCGGCGAAATATTATGAAAATTGATAACTCATTTAAAATATGAAGTGATAGCAATTTCCCTCACTTTCCAAGCTAGGATTAGAAATTGATGAATGCGAGTGATGCGTCTAAAATCATTGCAATAATTTTACACTGATCTAGAAATGATGTGACAGAAAAAAAAATTAATGAGTAATTAAACAGGTATAATCTTTGTTTTGGATTAAAAGATTTGGAACTTTTACTTTTAATCTCTATTGACTAAAATTTAAAATCATCTAAAATGTCGAGATGTAAATATCACGCTCTTTGTGGGTGTAAAATACCTATAGTTTAAAAACTTACTCGTAAAACAATATTTATTATCTCAATTGTAGTTCTTATTTAAAAAATAAATAATAAATTAAGTAATACCTATTAATCTAAAAATTCACTAAAATATGACAATAAAAACTACAAGGTTGCGATGTGATTTTCCTCAATATAAAAGTTAATAAACATTACGCTAAATTTAAGAATAAATAAAGTGTCCGGAAAATACCTTTCTTTAGGTCAAAACAAGAAAAATAACCTCCCGAAATAAAGGAGCAAAAGCCTCCTGAAGATAGGGACCAAAAGGTCTTTTTCAATTATTTTCAATTATTTTAGTATGGGGTTTGAGGTACCCTATTATTTAGAGAGCAGTCTATTTAAAAAGTAAAATTTGTTTGTAAAAAGCTTTAAAAATACTTTTAACGGATTTGGATTCTGTTATTAGTATAGGAGTATTATTTTTAAATGTCTTTTGTGTTGCTATAATATAACGCTCTTTTTTTTTGAAAAACACGTAACCCCAGGTGTCAGTTTTTTCATAAAAGGTCGAGTTGACGCTCTACCTTCCATATAGGAAACAAATTTGGGCATATGTCCATTGAAACTTTTTTTGTATTTTGACCTAAGAAATTACCACCTAAAATTTTTAAACGTTTAAACGAAAACAAAGTTTCAAATCTAAAAATGAGTCAAATAAGCAAGCTTGTTTAAAAAACAAATCTAAGTCCAAACAAATCATTATTTCAAAAGGAGAACGGGAATAATGCTAATAGTAATATCAATATCAAACTCTTCAGTTTTAGATTCAATTTTTTCAATAAAGAGTAATTTAGGTAAATGTTTACCAGTTTTGTTAAAAAAAGAACACTATTTTTTCTTGCAAAACTCTTTATTTTACAACTGGTTAATGGGGTAAAAAAGCAATTCTTATTATTCAATTAATTTTAATAATGAAGACCTAATTGTTTCAACTTTTGAAATCCTAAGTTGTTTATTTTTAAATGGAAACCTTTCTTAATTTTTTTTGTCGGTCAATCTATAAATAATTTGCCTATAAATATTGAAGTAGACAATTTGTCAATACCTATTTGTATTGACAAATTGTCAATTTTTATCAAAAATTTGTTTATCTGCAAACGTCACAAAAGTGACCACTTTTATGACTAAATGACACAGGTAAAAGTTTTACTTTTCAGACATGGAGTAAAAACACTGTTTTTACGCCTAGGCGTTTTTACTTTTACTTGACACTTACTTTGACATTTATCACTGTTGTCTCTTTCTTGTCTTTTTCGCTTTTTCAGCATTTTCTGGAGAGGTATAAGGTAGATTATCAGCATTCGACATATTGCACCATAAACTACACCAGTTATTCACCAGTTAAATCAATCAACACTTTCGAAATCTCAACACAAATTCCGAAACTGGCGCGTGACGTTTGTTACGATTTTATTGCAAAGCGTCCTGATTATTGAGGTGATTTACTTGATTATTGGTGTGTTGCTCTTTTCGTTCCATCTGAATCGTTTGCAGATAAAATAGTATATGTTATTTGGAGTAAAAGTGAGTTTATGTGGCTCAGCTGAATCCATTTGCCTCACTCCGTTCGGCAAAATGAACGTTCAGCTTCGCCACATAAACAATCACTTTTACTCCTAATAACATAATCTACTATTTGTATTTTTTTGAATTCGCATTAAACATTTAATTAATTTTTTTCGAAACAAATCATACGTGTTTTTTACAAAAAGTACACCTACTTTATTTTGAGAGTTTAAAATTATTGTGTCTAAATATTTAGGTATTGAAAATTATGATAAGTACTTTTATTTTTTCTTTACCTGTTACTGACCTATTTCTTTGTATTATGTTTAAGAAATATTAATTTTTAAATAAAATATACCTAACAATAAATTAGTTTAAGAAAGGAATGTTCTGCGTTAATGCCAAAATGTTTTCCTTTTATAGATTTTTTTTTAATAACGTATGATCAATCAAATGTAACAAACTACCGAGTTTTTGTGTGATTCATAAAAAATTAACTATCACAAAAAATCCACTTTGTAGATATTTAGACGTAGGTAATATTTTTTTAAGTAAACTAAGCAAAGTTTTGAATTAAATTTTTCAAAATCAACTCAATAAATTCAAAACAACTCAAAAAAATATTAAAAAATCATTATTATATAGAAAAATTATTTAAAAAATAAATCAGTTATGCCCGATTGCCCATAATTTAAAAAGATACACTACTCAACAATTGAAGTGGATATTGGAAATTGATTTTTCAAATTATAGTATATATTAAATTTTAAAAAATGGTTACAATAAATAAATTCATTCAACTCATTCACCGTCAAAAGTAAGAATTGAAGAAAAAGAAAAGAATGTAAATACACATCTTTACAATTAAAATAAAAAATTAATAAAAGCTAACAAAACAAAAAGTGCTTAAATCGTGTAGGGCTTCCCTGACTCTTTTAGGGCTTTTTGGAAAACTCTATTTCACCAATTATCTAATTATTGATAAAGTCTTGAGGTTGGTATCGCTATAGAGGTATTGCATCCACAACTCTGCATCTTATTGTTAAAAACAAAACAAAATAAAAAATAACATTCGAAATGAAATCGTGTCTATTGTCAGTATGTTCTGCTATTCTTTTAATATATGTACCTATACTTTAATTGTAAACTTCCGAAAAGTATCTACATAATTAATATCTAGTTCAATTGTTGAACAGTGTATTATTATTTATTATCACTATATTATAATTTTTACTGTAAATAATATAAAACATAGTAATAAAAGCATATTTAAAATCTTTAAAAATAAAAGTTTGAATTGTTTCGTATCCAATTTATTAGAATCACAAAAAATGTATTATGTATATTAAACGACAGGACGCAATGACTTGCTTATATCGAGCGATCAAGATAATTTGTAATCGAGTCATCCTTGGATGTGAAAACGGATGTCTGTAAAATGTCAAGTAAAATGACAAGTCGAAAGGTAAAATGGCACGATCTTTTGATTACCTTTTTAGGTAATGATTATAATAATTAAATTTATAATTTACCTTCAAAAAAGAGTCGTATTATTATACGTCGGCGACTAATTCTAGCCCATTTTGCCGTTTTACCTTCCGACTTGTCATTTTATTTGACGTTTTACGGGCAGTAGACATACGTTCTCAGATGCAGAGATGACTAGATTACAAATTATCTTGATCGCTCGATACCAATATGCATAATTGAGGTTTTCTGTTGTCGCTACGATATTGAAGCTTTTTAAATCAAAGTATGAATTTTGCATTAAAAAATAATTTGTTAATAGTTTTTCACTTAAAACCTAAAAATAACACATTGTTGTAGAGTACCTATATCATTTAATAAGCCAAACAGGCATATTAAAAGAAATAATATACTCTTTTTCATAGTAATGTGCAACAAGTAGGTTGTAGTAATCTAAATGAATCTTTAACCTAAAGGCTGATTCACACAAAAAGTGTCATTAATATGTCATTCAGAACAAATCTAAGCACATTAATAATAAGAATGTTTGCTACCTTATGTTAATTACCTAATTTTAATTATTTTTTGCTACCTGGAGCACACATTTATTTGAAAAAACAATTTGTAGGGAAAATTGAGGTTAGGATTATTTGAATTTTTGCATGGTTGCCACCTTAAAATGATCCCTTTCAACGACTATACTTCGATACACATTAAACGAGTATATGTTGGTTTGAAATTATAAAAACTAGATTATAATTACGGAAAACTGGAATGCTTTATGTGATCACAAGCCTAATCTATTAAAAAAATGTTTAAACGCCCCTAAAGTGGTTGATGTTTTGACAATTCTTTGGTAAAGAGCTGCTGATTTGTCGTCGAAAGCGCTTCCCGTAATAATTTATTGTAATTTGTCTATTGTGTTGTCGGAGCCTTCGTCTGCTGCCAAAATATTTGAGATCTTTCTCTTCGCCCTAGGTGAGGACAGCACCACAGCAGGGGATGGTTCGATTTTATGGGCCGTGCTAGACACAATAGGGCGGCACCCTCCAATTCAGTAA